ATTTCATACATAGTATTATTTGAAAATCTGGAGAGGATAGTCAAGAGAAATATAAAATATAGTTTCTACTGTAGGGGTTCAGAATGAGTCACCCCCAAGATGTGCTTTTGTAGATTGTTTTGAGCTTAGGCAACAAAGACCCTGCAGGCTCAAAAGAAACTTTACCCACTCCCCTTAACTACCTAGAAGAATTCGAATTAGGGGCCTTGCCCATAATAAGAGATTATGAGAGAGTTCTTTTTGACCCATCTATAGTGCATGGCAAACTTCTTAATTACTGAACATCTGTTCTTCTTATCCTTCTGTCTTCCTCCCCTCTGAAGTCCCAGTGTGATCTTTACCTCAGAATGTCATATACCTTATTTTCCCTTTGTCTTTAAACCTCTCATGTATGTGGGTTTCCCATGTGTACCTATGTGTTAAATCTGGTTATTTTCTGTTGTTAATCTGTCTCATGTCTATTTGATTATTAGTCTCAGCTGAAAGAACCTTGAGGGTAGAGAAAAGTTTCTTCCTCCCCCATACTTTCAAGGAACTGTGTGGTTAGGTAGGTAATGTACCATGTGAAAAAAGTCAGCATACTTGCAAATACAAAACTCTGTTGTTAAGAACTATTTCTAGTACAATAGATGTGCATTAAGCGTTTAGGAAAATGACCCACTGATCCCACTTCTAGGAATATACCCTAAGAAGCCTGAAACACCAACCAGAAAGAATGTATGTACCCCTATGTTCATAGGAGTACTATTTACAATAGCTAAGATCTAGAAACAGCCCAAATGTCCATCAGTAGACAAATGGATAAAAAAAGCTGTGGTACAGCCCTGGCCGGTTTGGCTCAGTGGTTAGAGAGTTGACCTGTGGTCCAGAGAGACCTGGGTTCGGTTCCCGCTAAGGGTGCGTACCTTGATTGCAGTTTGTCTCCGGCCCTGGTTGGTTGTGTGGGTGGCAGCCACTCAATGTGTCCCTTTCACGTCGATGTTTCGCTCTCTCTCTCTCACTCTCTCTCTCTTCTCTCTCTCTCTTCTCTCTCCCTCCCACTCTATCTGAACAAAAAATGGAAAAATGTCCTCAGGTGAGGATTAAAAAAAATAAAAAAAAGCTGTGGTACATATACACAATGGAGTACTATGCAGCTGTAAGAAAGAAATATCTCTTATCCTTTGAGACGACATGGGGGGACCTGGAGAGTATTATCCTAAGCAAAACAAGCCAAGCAGAGAAAGACAAATATCACATGATCTCACTTATTTGTGGAATATAATGAACATAACAGTCTGAGGAACGGGGTAGTCCCAGAGACGTGGAAGTGGGGTACAGACTGACAATCCCCAGAAGAGGGGGTGGGGGGAGAGATAAACCACAGAACTTACATGCATGTATGCATGGACAATGGACATGGACAACAAAGCTGGGGACAGGGCAGGGAGGGGGGGAGATGTTATCAGTGGGGGGAAAAGGAGAAACATCTGTAACAAAAATAAAAAAATTAATTAAAAAAAAAGAATTTAGGAAAATGATGTATTGGATAGGCTAGTATACCCAACCTTCACCTTTTTCAGTGTTTTCTGCAGGTATCTGCAACCTGGGTCATATCAACAGAGACTGCCCTCCATCCTCTGCAACTGATTAAGTTTAATGTTGAGTTTGGCCAGGTGATCTGAGGAAGAAGGAGAATGAGGTCATTCTCATTTGTGGGACCTGGGGCAAGAGTACAAACGGAGGCCCGGATACCATATCCTAACTATTGAAAACCAATTGTTTAAAAGAAAACTGTCAAATAATATGTTCTATTCTCCTGTTTTGACCAATTTATTTTCATAATGATCTGAAGGTCCAAGTTCAAATTTACAGTTCATCAGAGTTCCATACTAGAAAGTAGAGACATGGTTTCTGCCTGTAGCCTATCCCATTCTTTTTCTATCCAGTTCTGCTCTGCCACCTTCCCTTCCCGCCCTGGCAAAAGAGCTGCTCCTCGGCCACCATCCACCAGGCATAGAGTTGTACACACCAGTGGTGCTGGCTGCCCGGACCCTGGGAAAGCCTATGCAGTTTCTGGAAGCAGACTTGGGGCCATTCGAGTAGGGAAATCCTAGGTATCCAGAGCATGGTCTAGAAGGAAGGGCATGAATTCTGGGTGGCCATGCCCCTTGACCCTGTGGACTGTGTACCTTGTAGGGTTTTGTGCAGCTTGTAGGGCCAGAGCAGGTGCACCTGTTGCTCAGGTCTAATGGTAATATTGGGTCTGGTTTTATTATGAGTATACCTTGACCACCACCTGCCCAGTCCCTTTACTAAACCATCACCAACTATCTGTTTCCTTCTGTAACTATAGCTGATACAGCTGGTTTCTTAATGAGATTTACAGTAAAGGTGAACTTGATGTAGGCCTTCAGGGAAACTTTCAGTGGGCAAAGGATAAGAGAATTTAGAAATTAAAAGGAATTGAAAAGCTATAGAATGTAATGTTCCTACAATGCGTTTGCCCTATTTATTTGATATTTTATTTGACACAGCTTAAAGACATTCTTCTTTTTGAAGTTTTTCTCATTTTCATACCCTCTAGTGCTCCCTCATATTGTTTAGGTATTGATAATATATCTGCCATATACCCTAGGATGACTTACTTTTCTTTAATCAAACTTCAATTAACTTTTTATCCATACATTATATTCTGAAGTTATTTGGCTCTCACTTGATGGAACTGCATCATTTATTTATTAGGTTTTCTTTACTCTTTTTTCATTAGCCCACGACAATTTAGGTAATAGTATTTGGTGCTATAGCAACCATAAACACGAAGGCAAATTCAGGCCTCGAGATCCTGTACCAGTACTCCATTTTCAGTGAGTATGAACTGGGATATGTTTATATTAATATTTTAAATCACAGAAACATAAACCACAAAACAATTTTTAAAAAATATGTTTTTATTGATTTTTTTAGAGAGAGAGAAAGAGACAGAAACATCAATGAGATAGAAACATTGACTGGCTGCCTCCTGCATGACCCCCACCTGGGATTGAGCCCACAACCTAGACATGTGCCCTGACGGAATCAAACCGGGACCTCTCAGTCCATGGGATGATGCTCAGTCCACTGAGTCACACTGGCTAAGCTAATCACAAAAAATTTAAAGTTACTCTAAAGAAAACAGGCTCCTTTCTCCTCTGTCAGTATATCTGCTTAACTTAATTTGAGAACCATAAATTTTCAGGACTAAATTGATGTGAGAGGTGAAGGAAAAGGAAAAAAAAAAAAAACTTGGTGTGACAACTCAAAGATGTCTGGTCTGAGCCACTGGGTATGTGACCCTATTTGCTGAAATCAGTAGTAAAAAAAAAAAAAAGATGCTTTTAGGCGACAGGATAAGTTTGTACAATCTCAATTTGAGTTTCTCTTTCTGGTAGACTGAACTGTGGATATGAATTTGAAGTTCAACAACAAAAACCAAGGTCAAGCCCTGACTGGATGGCTCAGTTGGTTGGAGCATTGCCTGGTACACCAAAAGGTTGTGGGTTTGATTCCTGATCAGGGCATATACCTAGGTTTCAGGTTTGATCACCAGTTGGGGGGAGTACAGGCGGGAACCAATCAATGTTTCTCTTTCATGGCAATGTTTCTCTCTCCTTCCTCTCTCTCTAAATTCAATAAAAACATATTCTTGGATGAGGATTCAAAAAATCAAAAAAATCCCAAAACCCAACCAGGACAACAAATGTGGTCATTTGGGAAGAGCAAATGCAAAGCAAAAAAGATGGTCAAAGAAAAACGGAGAACACAGTTTCTGGAGAGTAGCAGTTAGCAAAGAAGGGGAGAGGTAAGGAAGTCAAAACAGAGGCCCAATTTAAGAGTGAAATGGCTATTACAGTCAGATACTTTCAAAGGTCAAGTAAGATAAAGCCTGAAGAGAGTGAATCAGTGATAGCTGATGATTAAGAACTGCTGACCAGAATAAGAGCAATTTCAGTGGAGAGTGGGGGCAAAGTCTGAGCACAACCAGTGTAAAAGGGGGAAATGTAGCTAATAATTCAAGACTGTTTTGCTTTGTTGTAAAAATGTAGCTAGCAACAATTGTAGGGGTGGAGGACGACTGGAAAACAGTGTAAGAGATTTGGGCTTTTGACTATCAGTGAGTGGCATGGGGTGGGAAAGAACAAGAGTCAACAGGTAGCTTAAAATTAGAGATTCTTAAGGAGTGAAGACAGATCAAGGGTCACATAAGAAATTTCTCCGTAGTTTGGAGAAGGAAGGTGGGTGGAGTTACAGACAAAGGGTGGGGAATTAAGGGAGCTCACACATCACATTGAATGGCCTTATCTTTCTTGGTAGGGCCCTCAGGCAGGGTCTACTGCAGAGACCAAGGGCGTAGGTGGAGCAATTGACTTGGAGAGAGAGCTGATTGGGAAACAAAGCTGCGTGGAAAAAGTAAAAAAGGTTACTGAGAGGTACTGAGGGTATTTGAATAGGAATTTAATGTGGCACCAATTCCTTCCAGTTCTGCCTTGCAGGGTGTAAGGTGCAGAGAAGGCAGATGAAGGTGGACTTGAACTTAAATTCATATCCCCAAAGGCTCAGACGTACAGACACCAAGGCGTGTGTCCAGTCGCGTGTGCCACACGTTTATGAAAGGCAGCACAAGGGCCAGCATGTTTGTATTCTAAGATGTGTTGTTCTGTAGCTTCAGTATCCCAAGGCTTTTAAGGAAATCGAGCCATTTTTAAAAAGAAGGGGGTGGGTGTTGGGAAGAAACCCCGGACATGAGATGCGAGAATGGGTAAAACTTTTCTACTCTCCAGATTCATCGGAGGGATGATAGGTGGCTGCCCAGGGTCCAGATGCCGCCCCTCGGGATAAAGGAAGGGGCCCTGCCCCGGAGCGACCAGGCGGAAGCACCTGTGCCATTGGTCCAGCGGCCGCTTTTACCTGCGCGGAGCCTCGGGGCCGGGAGCGCAAAGTCCGCGGCGCCAGCCAAGAAGGCGGCAGCAGGCAGGCAGGTGGATCCCCGCCCTCGGCCAAGCAAGATGCCGCTGGGGCTACGGGTAAAGAAGAAAGCCAAGTCCAGGGAGACCTCCCGGCTGATGGAGGGCGAACAGGAGGGCGCGGACGGCCGCGACCTCACGGCGCCGCCGGTCCGCCCGCCCAGGCTGGTCTTCCACACGCAGCTAGCGCACGGCAGCGCCACGGGCCGAGTGGAGAGCTTCTCCAGCATCCGGGAACTCTACGCCAGGATCGCGGGCGTGTTTGAGATCGCGCCGTCGGAGGTAAGGGCCGGGGGCTCGCGCCCAGTCGCCGGCGCCCTCCCGCCTCTCCCACCTGCGGAGCAGGCGAACGTGGCCCCGCCGGTTGAGCTCCAGGAAGGAGGCAGCGGGAGCCTGGGGGAAGCGCCCCAGGGGAAGGGAGTGGGCTAGATCCGGAAAAGGGAAAGGTGAATCCCAGGACCGGAGGAAGATGCTTTCCCCCAGCTCGGAGATCCGGCTTCTGGGAAACCAGGGCGCCCTTTCTTACGCAAATGAGTTTGTCCTAGTCGTCCCGGATTCGGCGCTGGGGCCCGAGCGCCTTCTGCGAGTCTAGATCTGGCCGGGCGAGTGGGCACCCTCCACTTGATCTGAACTTGACTCTCCTGCTGCCTCTTCGGGGTGAGAGGGCCACGCGGAGCGTCTCCCAGGAGAGGGGCGGGGTGGGGAGAACGACATGCCTTTCAGGGATATCAAACCGAGGCCCACTTTGCCCCAATTTGCACCTCATGTGCCCCAATACCAGAAACCCTTTGGTGGCATTTCCAATAAGCTTACTATACCAGCGGTGGGTAACTTAGAGTTATACTTAACTACGTGGGATTAGTTAACAAAAATTTCATAGGGGAAAATCAGCTCTAAATTTTACACCATGTCCTTGAAAAGGGACAGAAGTTTGCCTTAATTAGATTGACTGTATTCCTGCCATGAACTGGAGTTTGGTGTCAGCGTGATTTTGAAAGCACCAGCTTATGTGACCATTTCTTTGCAGCTTGCCCAGGCGAACTGCAAATGTAGGTGTGAGAAATTAGCCCAAGAAAGCATTTTGTCCACATTTCAAGGAAAAGCACAAGATCTTCTGGTAGCTAACTTTGAGTGGCACCAAGAGGCATTTGGGTATCTGTTCTTTAATGCTGTTTATCAGGTCTGTTCAAGCGAAATTGAGGTCAAGGCAAAATTCCAAGAGGAGATGAAAGAGAACTTGAAGTGTAACCTTTTGTTCCTTCAGGGGCCCTAAGCACTGAGGTAAATCACAACCTATTTTATGAATTATTTATATTGATGTAGAGGAGTCACAATACGTCACATTTCAGTTCAAAAAGCACTTTCACAGGAATATTGTCCTTTGATCCTCTCTAGGAGAGGCTGGTGGCAGGTAGTTCATTGGGACCCTAAGGACAGGATTTGGAGGCTGATAAACAAGGTTGTGGAGCTAAGTTCCACCACTCATCGGCTGTGTAGCCTGGATCAAATTTAACTTCCCTCAGTTTCAGCCATCTATAAATGGAGATAAGAACATCTGTAAAGACTGGAATTTATATATAAACTGTAGGGGTTCAGAACCAGTTGCCCCAAAATGTGCCTCTGTGGTATGCAGATTATTTTGAGCTAAAGGCAACCAAGACCCTGCTGGCTCAAAAGAAACTTCTGCCCTCCCTTAACTACCTAGAAGAACTTGGATAGGGGCCTTGTTTATAATATTATCAGAGGTAATCATTGCGCAAACTTCTAGCTGCTGGATCTCTGCTTTTATCCTTCTTCAATGACCATACACCCCTCTCAAGCCCCTAAGGTGATCCTTAGCTCAGAAAGTCATATATAGCTCATTTTCCCTTTCTGTCTTTGAACCTCTCATGTATATGGGGTTACCATATGTACATATGTATTAAACTTAGTTATTTTCTTCTGTTAATCTGTCTCATGTCTATTTTTTTTATTTTTTTTTATGAATTTTTATTTATTTTTTTGTTACAGATATTTTACCTTTTTACCCCATTGGCACCCCCCCACCCCCCCCTCCACCCTGTCCCCGGCTTAGTTGTCCATGTCCATTGGTCATGCATACATGCATATAAGTTCGGTGGTTTATCTCTTCCCACCCCCCCACCCCCCATCCCCTCTTCTGAGGGATGTCAGTCTGTGCCCTACTTCCATGTGTCTGGGTCTACTGTATTCCTCAGACTGTTATGTTCATTATATTCCGTATATAAGTGAGATCATGTGGTATTTGTCTTTTTCTGCTTGGCTTCTTTCACTTAGGATAATACTTTCCAGGTCCCTCCATGTCGTCTCAAAGGATAAGAGATCTTTCTTTCTTACCGCTGCATAGTACTCCATTGTGTATATGTACCACAGCTTTTTGATCCATTCGTCTACTGGTGGACACTTGGGCTGTTTCCAGATCTTAGCTATTGTAAATAGTGCTGCTATGAACATGGGGGTACATATATTCTTCCTGATTGGTGTTTCAGGCTTCTTAGGGTATATTCCCAGCAGTGGGATCACTGGGTCAAATGGAAGTTCAATTTTTAATTTTTTGAGGTAGCACCATATTGTTTTCCATAGCGGCTGCACCAGTCTGCATTCCCACCAGCAGTGTATTAGAGTTCCCTTTTCTCCACACCCTCGCCAACACTTGTTGTTTGATGATTTGTTGATGGCGGCCATTCTGACAGGTGTGAGGTGATACCTCATTGTTGTTTTAATTTGCATCTCTCGGATGATTAGTGATGTTGAGCATTTCTTCATATGTCTCTTGGCCATTTGTATGTCCTGTTTGGAGAGGTGTCTATTCAGCTCCTCTGCCCATTTTTTAATTGGGTTCTTTGTCTTCCTTTTGTGGAGTTGTATGAGCTCTCTGTATATATTGGAAATTAACCCCTTATCTGATACATCATTGGCAATGATGTTCTCCCATACAGTGGGTTGCCTTTCCATTTTGATGATCGTTTCTTTTGCTGTGCAGAAGCTTTTAGTTTGATGTAGTCCCATGTCTTCATTTTCTCCTTTATTTCTGTTGCCTTAGGTGATGTATCAGTGAAAATTCTGCTCCGTATGATGTCCGAAATTTTGTTGCCTACATTTTCTTCTAGAATTTTTATGGATTCACGGGTCACATTTAAGTCTTTTATCCATTTTGAGTTTATTTTTGTGTATGGTGTAAGTTGATGGTCGAGTTTCATTTTTTTGCATGTAGCTGTCCAATTTTCCCAACACCATTTATTAAAGAGGCTGTCTTTACTCCACTGTATGCTCTTGCCACCTTTGTCAAATATTAATTGAGCGTATTGCCTTGGGTCCATTTCTGGGTTTTCAGTTCTGTTCCACTGGTCTATATGCCTGTTCTTGTGCCAGTACCAGGCTGTTTTGGTTACAGTCGCTTTGTAGTATAACCTGATATCTGGTAATGTGATCCCTCCAACTTTGTTCTTCTTTTTCAAGATTGCTGTGGCTATTCGGGGTCTTTTTTGGTTCCATATGAACTTTTGAAGTATTTGTTCTAGTTCTATGAAATATGTCGTTGGTATTTTGATGGGGATTGCATTGAATCTATAGATTGCTTTGGGTAGTATGGACATTTTAATTATGTTAATTCTTCCAATCCATGAACAGGGTATGTTCTTCCACTTTTTTATATCTTCCTCTATTTCTTTTTTCAGTGACCTGTAGTTTTCTGCAAATAGGTCCTTTACTTCTTTGGTTAAGTTTATTCCTAGGTATCGTAATTTTTTTGGAGCGATGGTAAATGGGATTGTTTTTTCAGTTTCTCTTTCTGTGAGTTCATCATTGATGTACAAGAATGCCGTCGATTTCTTGACATTAATTTTGTATCCTGCTACTTTGCCAAATTCATTTATTAAGTCTAATAGATTTTTGATGGAGTCTTTAGGGTTTTCTATGTACAGTATCATGTCATCTGCAAATAATGACAGTTTCACTTCCTCCTTTCCAATTTGGATCCCTTTTATTTTTTCTTCATGTCTGATTGCTGTGGCTAAGACTTCCAGTACAATGTTAAACAAGAGTGGCGAAAGTGGACATCCCTGTCTTGTTCCTGTTCTTAATGGAAATGTTTTTTAGTTTCTGTCCATTGAGTATGATGTTGGCTGTAGGTCTTTCATATATGGCCTTTATTATGTCGAGATATGATCCCCCTATTCCTACATTGCTGAGCGTTTTTATCAGAAATGGATGCTGGATTTTGTCGAATGCTTTTTCAGCATCTATTGATATGATCATGTGGTTTTTATTCTTCATTTTGTTGATGTGGTGTATCACGTTTATTGATTTGCGAATATTGTACCAGCCTTGCATCCCTGGAATGAATCCCACTTGGTCATGGTGAATAATTTTTTTGATGTATTTCTGGATCCGATTTGCTAGTATTTTGTTCAGGATTTTGGCATCTATGTTCATCAGGGATATTGGCCTGTAGTTTTTTATCTTCGTAGTGTCTTTTTCTGGTTTTGGAATTAGAATTATGCTGGCCTCATAGAACGTGTTTGGAAGTCTTCCTTCTTCTTGAATTTTTTGAAATAGTTTGAGGAGAATGGGTATTAGTTCTTTTTTGAATGTTCGGTAAAACTCCCCCGTGAAACCATCTGGGCCTGGGCTTTTGTTTGCTGGGAGAGTCTTGATTACCTCTTCAATTTCCTTAGTTGTTATTGGTCTGTTCAAGTTTTCTATCTCTTCCGGGAATAGTTTTGGGAGACTGTGTGTTTCTAGAAATTTGTCCATTTCGCTGAGATTGTCGAATTTGTTGCCATATAGTTGTTCATAGTAGTTGTTAACGATCTTTTGTATTTCTGTGGTGTTGGTTGTTACTTCTCCTCTTTCATTTCTGATTTTGTGTATTTGGGTTCTCTCTCTTTGTTTCTTGGTGAGTCTAGCTAAGGGTCCATCAATCTTGTTTATCTTTTCGAAAAACCAGCTCTTTGTTTCATTGATCCTTTGAATTGTTTTTTTGGTCTCTATGTCATTTATTTCTGCTCTGATCTTTACTATTTCCTTCCTTCTACTTGTTCTGGGGTTTTCTTTTTGTTTGCTTTCTAATTCTTTAAGTTGTGAGGTTAGACAGTCAATTAGAAATTTTTCTTGTTTTTTGAGGTAGGCCTGTAGTGCTATGAACTTCCCTCTCAGAACTGCTTTCGCTGCATCCCATAGATTTTGTGTTGTTGTGTGTTCATTTTCATTGGTTTCCAGGAAGTTTTTGATTTCTTCCTTGATCTCCTCGGTGACCCATTCAT